ATTTTTATTTTTGTATGATACCTGATTTATATGGAATATGACTGAAGTAAACTAAAGCCTAAACTACTTAGTCATTTGTTTAATATTAATGTAACATTATATAATTCACATATAAAACTATGAATTGTGATTTTAAATGGTTTAAAAGCATGTAGAATAGCATATGCAGGCAAGTATATTTCTCCTCTTTTTATTAAGAAGCAAAAACAAAAAGGAAAAAAAAAAAGAAACAGGGCAGAGTTCGGTGGTTGAATCATCCGTCCCCACCAATGCCAAAACCAAATCTATGCCCTTGGTCTAGATGCTGGTGGTTTTGAAGATGACGACTTCGGCTTTGAATAAAGCTCCCACTGAGATGTCCAAGGTGAAGATGGTAAGGAGGTGGGTTTCACAAGAGTGCAACACGGAGGCTGATTTGCTCGAAAAAGGCAGGCAAGAAGATGACTGGTCTACAGTAACGTCAGTATTGAGATTGACAGTGTGGGAAAGCGGTAGTTGTGTAAAGAAGAGAAAAATAGCTGAAGAGACAGAATGCATACACCTGGAAGAGATAAAAGTGAACCAGCAAGAAGCCTCTAGGGTCGCTGGAGGGAAGGATGGTGAATGGACAGCCTACGGAAAATAATCTCCGTCCAGAAGGTGGCGGTAATGTACCTGAAGTGGTTTGCCAACCGTCATAAAAAGATAGAAGAAGAAGACGCAGCAGCTCAGATGGAGAGAAGACAGCTGACCTAAAACCCGAGTAACGTAAAAATGAAACTAGATGTTATTGGTATACTGCAAAAGGACTCTAGAAGTAAACGTTATCAGACCTTACTTCAGTTTTTAAAAGAGAATAAATGGCTTGGGGGGAATTTTGTTTTTCTTTTGAGCGACGTTCCAGTCACATTCCACACCAGTTGGTGGCGGTAATGCACCATTCAGTTCTTTGACAACCGACAATTAAATTTAGAAGAAGAAAGAAGAGGCGACGAAGAGAAGAAACCGGCTTCTCTGTTCTGTTCTCAGCTTTCAAACAGGTAAAAGAGGTTTGTTTTTTTTAATGCTAGCTTATTTGTTTAACTCTGAGTTAACGAGGATTTCTAGCACTTTTTTCGAGTACCAAGGAACGATGACGGCGATTACCGCCACCTAACAGCTAATAAGGTTAGCTTGTCTGAATGGTCGTGTGCGGTGTACGTGGCACATATGCAACTATATATGTACAAAATCTGCTCGTTTTGTACGGGTCAGATCACCTCAGATAAAAACCAGGAAGCATCTACCGAATAGCAAACGTTACTGCATGAAAACACAGATAAACCTGTTAGCTTTAGAAAGTTTGACGATGTTTATAGCATTTATTTAAATCAGAGTTTCCCTGTGATTCGTCCTGTGCTGAATTTTTAATGTTCCACTACCTAGATAAACATGAGCGATCCCATGAGGGTGTTGGTGACAGGTGCATCCGGGTTGGTGGGCAGGGCCATACAGCATGTGGTGAAAGAAGGAGGAGCCAAGGAGGGGGAGGAATGGATATTCCTGTCCTCCAAAGATGCCAACCTCATGTGAGAGTTGCTCCGCTTCAAGATAAAATGCTGTCACATGTTTTGATACTATTAACCTGCTGGTGGCCTCTCCTCAGGAATATGGACCAGACCCGGGCAGTGTTTGAGAAACACCGGCCTACGCACGTCATCCACCTGGCTGCTATGGTTGGAGGGCTTTTCAAGAACATGAAATATAACCTGGACTTCTGGGTATGAGGAACCTGTTCATCTAATTAACTCATTTAATAGAAATGCTATGATCGTAGACTATCCAGATTCATGTTTTTGATGCTCATCCTGCTTTATTTACTTTCCAGAGGAACAACATCTACATCAATGACAATGTGCTGCAGGCAGCGCATGAAGTGGGCGTGGTCAAGGTTGTTTCCTGCTTGTCCACCTGCATCTTTCCTGATAGGACGACCTATCCTATTGACGAGACCATGGTAAATATACCTCCCTGCTCTTTCTGTGCATCAGCACATTTGGAAAAGAGCAGCTCACATGCGCTTCTCTTTACTACAGATCCACAACGGTCCACCTCATGAGTCCAACTTTGGCTACGCCTATGCAAAGAGGATGATTGATGTCCACAACAGGTACGTTATGTCTTCTATGTGTCATTTCTATCCTCTACCGCATTGGGCTTTCTCTCAGCTCTCCCTGCTCTCAAATGATGATGTCTCTGACTATTTTTCAGGAAATGCATTTAAAACTTTCAGCCTCATGACATTTTTTTCCTGTGTGTGCTTCACAGAGCGTATTTACAGCAGCATGGGCGTTGCTATACAGCTGTGATTCCCACTAATGTGTTTGGTCCTCATGACAACTTTAGCATCGAAGATGGTCATGTGCTACCAGGTCTTATACATAAAGCATACATTGCTCAAAGTAAGTTTTTAAGTCCCTAACCCCATCGTCATTCCAGCATTTCTCTTTAAGCATTTACAAGTTTTTGGTGGTGTAAATGGACATGTGACTTCATCTACATGTTGTACTGTTCAGAGGGGGGGAAACCCTTGGTGGTCTGGGGCTCTGGCACACCTAGAAGACAGTTCATCTACTCTTTGGACCTGGCTCGTCTTTTCCTCTGGGTCCTGAGGGAGTATCCAGAAGTTGAGCCAATCATTCTCTCTGGTGAGTCCTCATAGACTCTATGACTCTTTGACTATTCAATGATGATGGCAGTTTAAGGAGAAGTATTCTTATAATGCTACATCTGTTGCTTCCAGTTGGTGAGGAAGATGAAGTGTCCATCAAAGAAGCAGCAGAAGCTGTTGTTGATGCATTGGGCTTTAAAGGAGAAGTCGTGGTATCCTTTCAGTAATGCAAGTTATTTGTTTTTGACAGTGGATTTGGAAGATTAACGTTAAATTCAGTTCAGTTTTATTTATATAGCGCTAAATCACAACAGCAGTCGCCTCAAAGCGCTTTATGTTGTAAAGTAAAGACTGTAGACTACTATAGAGAAAACCCCAACATTGCTTCTTGTTGTCTCATTGTTTCCTTTACCCGTGACATTCAGTTTGACACCAGTAAAGCAGATGGACAGTTCAAAAAGACGGCCAGCAATGCAAAGCTGTGCCGGTATCTGCCAGACTTCACTTTCACCCCCTTCAACCAAGGTGCGGCTGATGTAAAGCTTGACATTTAGATGCTAACAGTGTAGAAATTTCAAAAGACTCCATCAGTTACTGACTTGCCTGGTTCTTTTCACTTGCAGCTTTAAAGGAAACCTGTGATTGGTTTGTTGCCAACTATGACACAGCCAGGAAGTGAGAAGACTGCCAAAAAAATCGGTGCTAATTCTTGTTTCATCTGCTGTTGTGTTGGTAAAGAATCTGGTGGTGGAGAGAGAGCTCGTGGAGAACAAAGTGCTTCACAGCACAAACACAAGGCAGTTGGTGTTGAGTCTTACTGTTGTTGCCTTCTTTCTGCAGCACCATACTGTTTTGTGCTGAATGTTGGGTGCAGGACCTGGGACCCCTTTTCTGTACATGGACTCTATTTAGCTGGATTCAATCGTGGATGATTTGTCAGAATACCAGTTTGAAAAGTATTGGACTGAAATGATGCCACCGAGCCATGGTGGCATTATTCTTGTGTCAGGAACTGGTTAGAATCCTTGTCTGTGTATAAAAGGTGGGTGTAGCTGCAGGGTCTAAATTGTGAGCTAATGCAGAAGTGCCTTAAACCTGTATTCTTTTGAATGGCCAGCAGGGGGTGACTCCTGCAATTGTAAAAAGCAGTCCAGTCATGTAGAAATCTTTGCTCATCCACAATCTGTGACCTCAGTAAACACTTTCCTTATGAGCTTGAGCTCTGTAGCTAAATTGAAGTGTTAGTGATTATAAAGAGACGTTAAATGACAAGTCTGTACCTTACCTCGTCACATCTGGTTTCAAAACACCAAATTGATGATTGCAAAAATCGCAACAGCTTCACTAAGCAAAGGGTAAAATCACAGTAGTGAAGTCCATCTATTGTATACTGGCTATGGTTGTGATTGTGGACTCAGTGTTAGAGAAGCATTTTCAAGAGACCACTGCAAATCATGATCATTTAGCATACTTCTGTACTTGCATTTAGAGGTGCCCCTCAGTCAATAGGAAATAATACACATATGAAAGTTGCTACTAGTCTGTAGTAGGAGACAAAAATAATTTCCTTTCACGGCTCAACACAGCTATAAAATAAAATTGAGAAATTGTACTGCAAGGCCTTAAAGTCATCACTGCTGAATCCGTCCAGCTGCTGTGACGAAAGAGCGTTCTTCTTCTACGCCCTCTAAATTCAGGTGCTTTCAGCTGGTTTTTCCATTTAGGCGCTCTTTGTATTTGCTTTTAAAAGGACTGACATTAATTGTGCTGTAGCCTATTGATTTAAAAGAAAGCTTTTCTGCCATTTTTCTACTGTCCCTCACTACATTTTTCTCTAGTCGAATTTTAAAGGGTACTGACTGAGCTACATGTAAGCTTGGATGTCTTTTTTGTTTTTTTTCCTTCCCTCCCAGTTTTAACTTAAATTGCAGAGTTGCTGATTGTGGTTTCCAGTATCAGTGTTACCAGCAGGAAGAGTTCAGTCATCTCAGATTTAATCCAACTGTTTTAATCTAAACTAGATCATCCAGCTGAGCATGGAACGTTTTAGGAACGTACAGATCGTGGGGTCTACTGTCCTTCAGTAAAAGAAAAATGATGTCATCGTCTATTCTACGACCCGTATGAAGAAGTTTTAGAGTTTTATTCACTGTGGTAGCGTTAATCATTTCAGCTGGGAAATTATGGGCTCAAAATGTGGTCATAAATATTTTGTACTTGTAAATCAGTTTCGTATGTGTAAAAAGAATTTGTGTGTAAAAAAAAAAAAAAAAAAAAAAAATTTGTGTGTGGACTTAGCCAAAAAACCCTGCAAGTTACAAGTACGAATTTTGACCCAATTTTTCTTCCTTTCATCTGATTGGTCAATGTCATGTCAATCACAAATGTAACAATCCAATCAGAGAACAGATGGGTTTGGCTGTCGGAGGGGCGCTTTTTTGAACTGCAGGTCCTTGAAGGGTAATACAGTTTGAAGCTTGAGGATCTCTATATAAATATCCGATAGCAGCTAGGTCACCTAACTTTCAGCAGCTGTTGAAAGGATAAAGTTGTGGTATGTCAGTGGTTACAAACACCATTATTACTTTAGGATTAGTTTAACACAAAGTCAGGGCTGACCCGGGACCAGTGCTGTGAGTCACAGTGCGCAGCATAAAAGTCCTTTCACATTGGACGAAGGATGTGCTGCTAATGCTAACTGCTAACTAAAAGCAAAGGATCCAGAATTTGTTACGCTGGCTGCTGAGCTCTGTGGGTTTTCGCAGCAGCTCTACCTGTACTAGATGCACCTGCTCCTTGTCTTTTCTATCTCTGACTTTGTCCTCTACAAGAGTTTTTTTTTTTGCTAGTTCTTCAAATGCTCAATAAAAACATGTATGCTAATTCAAACCGAAGAAAGCTTTGTGATGAAGACTGTCATTTCCAAAACACTGCCCGCCCCCACCCCACGGTCCGCAGTGCTGTTGAAAAGGCTGTGGAAGTCCCTGTATTAAACACGTAGACCTGTGACACAAAAATCACCATACTTGGACGACCACAGACTGTTTTCCTTCGTGGTGATGAAGGAAAACGCTGGGTTGGCATGTAAAAGGGCATTTATTCCCTTCAAAGACCTGCAGTCCAAAGAAAAGCGCCCCTCTGACAGCCAAACCCATCTGTTCTCTGATTGGATTGTTACATTTGTGATTGACATGACATTGACCAATCAGATGAAAGGAAGAAAAATAGGGTCAAAATTCGTACTTGTAACTTGCAGGGGTTTTTTTTTTTTTTGGCTAAGTCCACTTACAAATTCTTTTTTACACATACAAATTCTTTTTACGCACACATTTTTATTTATTTATTTTTTTAAACACATACAAATCCTGATTTACAAGTACAAAATATTTATGACCACATTTTGAGCCCATAGGAAATGGGCTGCTTCACTCTTGTAATCCAGGTGCTGGCACAACATAACATTCAGAAATCAGAATTGTTTTGACTTCGTTTGTTATTGAAGGGTTTGGGATTTGATTGATCCAGCTTATATAATTGAGCATTATGTGGGCTAGTGTGGGTTTTTTTTTTAAACGAATCAGAGCAAAATAAATATTTTATATTTGCAATGTGTCTCAAGTGTCCTACCCTTCATATGAAAGACATGTCACAGATTGAGATTTTTATTTCTGTGTATGTTCATATGCCATAAAAACAAAACAAGGATTCAGTTCTGCTGGACAGCACTACTACTCATGCTTCACTTTATAACAGACACAGAACCCTGATGTATACAGAAGTGTATACATCAGGGTTGGGGAACCTTCAGGCCTCAAGGGCCAGTGTCCTGTAGGTTTTAGATGTCCTTGATCCAACACAGCTGATTTAAATGGCTAAATTACCTTCTCAACACATCTTGAAGTTCTCCAGAGGTAATGAACTAATATTTGATTCGGGTTTGTTGAACCAGGGTGCTATCTAAAACCTGCAGGACATCGGCCCTTGAGGAATGCAGATCCTCATACACAAACGACTGCACCTCAAAACACAAGCCTATTTAAAAACGTGAGGTTTGCAGATGGCATGGTGATCATGAGACTTGAAGGTTGGTGATGAGTCTGCATACCAATGAGGGGTTAAACAGCTGAACATGCTCCTTCAGGTTTCAGGGATCCAGTCTCTGTTGCCACCTAATACAAAATTATCAAAGAGGCCCAGAAGAGGATGGACCTCCTGCACCAGCTCAGGAGCTATTGGTCCATTTCTACTCTGCAGTAATCCAGTCGGTTTCCTGCGTGACCATCAGTGTATTGATCAAACCAAAGAGGACGAGAACAGACTACAGTGGACAAGTCAGGTCTGCAAGAAACGATTTGTACAAACTCAGAATTAGGAAACACTCACACCCAGGATACAACCTCTTCCAGTTCCTCCCTTTGGTAGGTGCTACAGAGCAGCTTTTCACAGGCCATTGCTTACATGTTGTCTCTACTAAAACGTCCACCACAGCTTTTACTGAAACAAACCATGCAGTAAATACTCTTTGGTTATACCTATATTACACATACTCAAATTCACATAACTCTCTCCCTCCATCTATATATAGAACCAGTTACCCACCACTATGAATAGGCTATACATGTTCATCTGTGGCACATTGCTACTGTCTGTTTCCATCCATCCATCCATCTTCATCCGCTTTATCCGAGGCCGGGTCGCGGGGGCAGTCATGGTGTCTGTTTCCATGTTCTCTTAGGTACATTGAAAGCAATAAAGAGCATGGAATTAAGAAAAAAACTGAGCCCAGTTCCTTAAGTGTACATGCACATACTCGGACAAAGCTAATTTTGATACGTTTTTTCATTTTTATTAAACACGAAAAGCTAAATAAACGTCTAAAAACATTTAAAATATCTACAGATGTAATTTTCATTCAGCAGTCTTACTTACTGCTGTCTGCAGTGCAGACAGAACTTAGTAAAAACAATTTTTCATTACTGTATACAGTTTTTACAGACAAAGACGGCTGAGCCTGTTAAAACTGGACATACGAGGAGTGCCCCCCTTCGTGGACTCTGCAGTACTCCTGTCCTGGCACGGCTCTCTTCTTACAGACTTTTCCTCTTTTTGTGAGGCCATTGCACAGCTGACGGCCTGACACTGAGCTGAAGGCAGGAAAAACAGAAAGATGCCCTTTAACAATTCATATTTCCCTTTTACTCATTATAATGAGGTTATATTGGAGGGTAATTATTAATTCCACAGTTTCAAATAATGAGGTCAGTATACATTGAAACAACTCTTATAGGCCAAAAGCTCTTGGAGACTCTTACTTCTATTTCTGTAGGATTTCAGTGAAAACTGGTATCAGTAACATAGCAATGAACTGGCAGCTAGAATCCCTAACATGACATGCTCATTTCAAATGTCAGGGTTACACACCCACCCACACCAAAGTACATTAAATCACAGTCCATATAAACAATTTAGCTCTTCAAACAGAAAAAAAAAATATGTGCATGTAACTGGAGCTACTGACCTGTTGCTGACTAACGATGGAGTGGGACTTGCACTTCGTGAATCATTCCCTAAATCATGCGAGTCAGTGACTGAATCAAAAACACCTTCCAGGTTACTCAGGGGTATATCGTAACAAAGAGCCTAAAACAGATTTAAATTAAACAATATTTGTCTTGCTTGCCACTAGTGATGCACCGAGAATACAGTTTTTGCATTTCTGAAAGCATTAACTCAGTTTGCTTACCGCTGAAGAAAGTGGCTTTGGTATAAACCTGGGAGTGGAGTGATTTGGTTTACCAATTACTGGCATAAGCCTTGACTCTGGCGTAAGCTTCCTCTGAGGTGGAGACACAGCTGATATGCCAAGTTCACCTGAACACAAACCTGTTTGACAGCAAAACTGAGAAGCTGAATTTATAGAAAGAGCACTGCTCTTGAACAGGATTCACTGTAAAAAGGTTCAGCATGTGTTTCCCACCTGATAAAAAGCTGTCCGGATTCAATAGGTCGTCTTTCTCAATGATGTCATCTTTTTCATCTCTGAGCACAAAAGGATAGAAAATAGGTCCAATAGATGCAAAAGGAATCATTGTTAATTTGGTGTAGACAATAATACATGTTCTACTGCCTGAAGCTCTTACTGACCGTGTAGAGTTCAAAATTCATTTTTTACTCGAACAAATCATCAGTTACCAGTTTGAGAACTGACCAGTGAACTCAAGAGTTTCTGATTGAGCCGGATTAAATCATTAGCTAAGTTTAACATCTACAACATGGTGCTCATTTAATAAATTACTGTCTATATCAGGGGTCCCCAATCCCAGTCCATGAGGGCCGGTGTCCCTGCAGGTTTTAGATGTGTCCTTGATCCATCACAGCTGATTTAAATGGATAAATTACCTTCTCAACATG